TGACTCTTTTTATTTAAAAACGGTGACTTCTCTAGCCATGAAACTCTTGTGATGAGATATCCTTGGGTTTAAGTTGAATACCTGGATGTGTTTGATGCGCCAATACGTTACCATGCGTATCCACTATCCACAAAACATACAAGGACGTACGTATTAGGGTAGGGCTAGGGTTGCAGGTCAAAATAGTGAGAAAACTAATGTAGGATATTTGGGTTTTATTTGCTGCTTTCTACTGCACAAAAACAATAACAACAACATATTTATATTTACAATATTTAAATCCTCATTGTACTGTTTTTGCAACATGTTTCTGGGGGCATCGTTTTACCTGGTTTTCTTCTTGAAGTTAGTTGTTGTCATGTTTTGGTTAGTCTTCATGCAATGGAAAGTAAATGGGGTTCAAACAGTTTGAGTGATTGTTATTCCATGACCTTGATATAACAGCTGTTTCCTTGATGATAGAACAGTCCTTGTAAAGGTCTTAACATAGCCTGCGCTGCTTGTATAATATGCATTGCGTGATGGCCTCATTAGGGTGAGTGGTGTGTTGGCAGAGGTTCCCAGCAGTTGAAACCGGCAGACGGGGCTAATGATGAGGAAGGCTGCACCGGTCTCATATCAGTTCATTTGATGTGGTATTGATTGCTGCGCTGCTTACACAGGTTCTGTTCTAAGGTCGATGTTTACTTAGGACTATAATTGGATTCTCATAAATCCTGAGGAAGTGCAATCACCATATTGCACTGGGAAGCACTTACAGCGTGTGGCGAGGCAGCAGTGTGTCTTCGAAAGCTCTTCACAACTATAAATAATACCCTATTCCCGTAGGATGCTACATGTTGGTTTGTTGGGGCTTTCTAGAAGTTTTAGAAAATGTTGCTTCATTTAATTTTACTCAAACAACAATTTAATGCAAGACTTTTGCTTGGAAAATAGTGTTTCTACAGCTGATGCACAACCTCATTTCTTGTAGACAGGTCCATAGTATCAAGCGTCTAAAGTGAAGAAACCCCACCTTGTTCGACGACACCCCTGAACATTTCAATCTAATGAGAGAAAAACAAACTCTTCCTATTCCTGTACGCATCACTTAAACCGGGTTCGGCCTGTTTGAAGTCACTATACAGGGTTCTTGGTGTCGTGTTCTTGTGTCCTTATGGTCCATTGCATTTCATTGAAGTCTCTATGCAGTGTTTTGTGTTATTATGTCAAGAGAAGAAGGGTTTCCTGCCTCCTGCTCACTTGCAATGCAATGTATCATCATCATAACAACCCCCTGTACCGTGTGGTAGTAAAAGTGTTGTTAAAAAATAGCTGAGTACAAAACGATAGGAGACGACATAAATCAATATCAGACGAGACAATACGAGCCTCCTGTTGTTTACTTGCAATGAAATGTATTAGTGACGCGGTTTGGTTTCTCCTTCATTGGGTTCCTTGAGCTCTCTCTTGAAGTCACTATACAGGGTTCTTGGTGTTGTGTTCTTGTATCCTTATGGTTGATTGATTGATCTCCTTTGTGCACCAGCCAATCCTCACAGTAATAAACATCTTGTGAAACGGTTTCCTTGACCTCTCTCTTGTCTCTGTCTCTCCTCAGGTCCTTGGGGGCGCTGTATGGGCAGTGATTGTGGCCCCGGCGGCAGTCAGAGCCGGGCGGTGTGGTGCGCCCACTCCGAAGGATGGACCACCCTCCACACAAACTGCGACCAGAGCAAGAGGACCGGACAACCAGCAGAGCTGCTTCAGGGTCTGCGACTGGCATAAAGAGCTGTACGACTGGCAGCTGGGGGCCTGGAACCAGTGCCTCCCCGTGTCCATGCGCAACGCTGGAGTTCAGCGACCCATCGTCTGTACCCGGGGCGAAGAGGGCATTCAGACCCGGGAGGTGGGCTGCGTCCTGAAGGCAGACGGAGAACCAGCAGAAGATGCAATCTGTGAATATTTTGAGCCAAAACCCCGTCTGGAGCAGGCCTGTTTGATCCCCTGTCCGCGGGACTGCGTGGTGTCGGAGTTCAGCCCATGGACGCAATGTTCTAAAACCTGTGGGATGGGACTACAGAACAGGATCCGCTTTGTTTTAGCGCCACCGCTGTTTGGTGGGTCGGCGTGCCCGAATCTGACGGAGTTTCATACGTGCCAGCCGGGGAATTGTGAAGGGGAGGAGAGTCTGTACAGCCTCAGAGTCGGACCCTGGGGGCTCTGCTCGATCCCGGTGTCCAGGCAAGCCAGACAAGCTGATAAACCACCAAGAGAGGGAAGGAAAACCGTCCAAGGAAAGTGAGAAACCGTCCAAAGAGGGAGTCAAAGTGACCGGAGCGGGGGAGAAACCCAGCAGAGAGGGGGAGAAACCCAGCCAGAGAGGGGGAGAAACCCAGCAGAGAGGGGGAGAAACCCAGCAGAGAGGGGGAGAAACCCAGCAGAGAGGGAGAGAAACCCAGCAGAGAGGGGGAGAAACCCGAGCAGAGAGGGGGAGAAAACCCAGCAGAGAGGGGGAGAAACCCAGCAGAGAGGGGGAGAAACCCAGCAGAGAGGGGGAGAAACCCAGCAGAGAGGGGGAGAAACCCAGCAGAGAGGGGGAGAAACCCAGCAGAGAGGGGGAGAAACCCAGCAGAGAGGGGGACAGGCCGCGCAAAGACGGAGAAAAAAGGTCCAAAGATGCAGACAAACTGTCTAAAGATGGACCCAAACCCTCCAGACCCAACAGGAAACTTGGCCGAGCGAACAGGAAACCGGACCGCCCGTCCCGGCAGGCGGACCAACCCAAACGGGGAGAAAAAGGGCCAAAAACAAAGAGAAAAGGAGAAAATTCGGGAGAAAGTGAGGGAGAGGTTGAGGGAGAGGGGGGAAGGCGAAGGATCCGGAGACCAGAGAACTCATCAAGAAGAGGAGGACCAAAAACCGCCAGAACCGACCGGGGGGGGAAGTTCTGGGATCTGAAACGGTACGGATACCATACCCTGGAAGTGTCCTGCGTTCATAAGACGGGAACGTCGAGGCTCTCAGGTAAGAGACTCCTGATGAGGTCACTTTAGAGACTAAGCAAATCCTACATTCTTTGTGTTACTGTGGTTACTGTTTGCTGAGGAAGCTATCCTGTGTTTTCGTAAGGTTGTCTTCACTTTCTATAGACGCTAGTCTGCTAAATAATTATATATAGTATAGTAATGGTTATGTCTGCAGCAAGGAAACAGTAGTTTAGCATCAGGGTAATAAGGATTAGGTAATGTTAGGTGTATTCTATAACCCGAAGGCCAGGAGAGACTGAAAAGAGTCAAGGGAAGCTTATAAAAGTTAACAGCATTTAATTACACCAAAGATGTGGTGGTGTACAGTACAAAATGAAATGTGCGAGTGGAGGCGTTCTCCTCATCCGCCCGGTCAGTCCAGGTCACCCGGTAGCAAGAGGTCAATCCTTGGCTTGCTCTTCCTGTTGTCATCGGAGGTCTTCTCCTATTGGTCGGGGCGGGGTCCAATGCAATTTCTGCCTTTTTCTGTTGTTAAATTACATCATTCTGGTGTCTGTGGTTATTTAAACATTCCCTAATAAACGTTATTCAGCGGTAATAAATGAGTGCTAAACCCAGTGTGCTCAGTGTGCTCAGTGTACAACATCACATGTCATTTCACCTTTGATTCACGGTTTGAAAATGCAGCATTTCGCCACATGCTAATGCTAACCGGAAATGTAGAATTTTCAGAATAAAAGTATTAAGTTAATAGTTAGTGAACTTCCGGTTTTCAGAATAAAACTGATTTAAATTAAATAGTGTATTTAATTCAAATTACGCCATACCAACATTGATTTAAATTTCTAACAATCCCTCCTTACATACCCTTTAAGGTATGTAAATAATATTGAATCAATTAGTTCTTCATCCGACATTGCATGGTACATAACTCATAAAAGTAAAAAAATACAAATAAGAAATACATATTCAATCATAATATGAAGTTTTCATAACTTCTAGCTTAAACCTTTAATGTCACTTTGTAAAATAGCAGCAATTAGCTTGGTATGGAAAACGTCTAACTCCCCTCCTTTCACATCATAAATAATCTTCTTACTGTATCTGGTGTAAAGGCACTTGTTCTTTTACAAAGTATAAGAAGGCTTAAACTATCTGAAAATAGCTAAATATTACTCTTTATTTACTTTTACTGTGTCTCTGGCGTAATTTATGAATCTCTGCTGGTTCTAGTAGATATAGTTCTCCCCATCCACATTCTTGTTGGTTGTGGGACAGAGGAATAATAATTCAGAACCTGCTGATATTTGAATCTTACTACTGGGCATATGTTACAAACAAAAAACATCTTCATGGTGAACTAAATAAAATCCTTGTAATATTTCTCAAATCTAAATATAACAATGAACTATTCCTGTTTGTGGTAAAGACACACACTAACGTTATGGAATACAATTTCATTATGGATTCAAAAACAACTAAAGTCATGATGCTGTCAGAGTGAATGATTTCCTGAGTGTATCTGTCCTGTAAGGTACGTCATTCTCTGCTTGATCGTGTGCAGAAATCCCATCGATTGCACCTGGCAATACGGCTTCTACCTGTCTATTATCAAGCTGAAAAATGAATACAGAATTCCAACATACGGTCATCAAATGTCTTTCTATTATGAATTTAAATTAAATGTATATCCCCATAATGAACTAAACAATAAAGTCTATGGCTTTTACTTCTAATTCTTTACCAGGCTAGTTACAATATGTTGTCTAAATTAAATTCGGTATCATTACATTACTATGTTTTAGCTTAACTTAACTGTAATATGTTCTTTCTACATTTCAAACCTCAGTTACTCTAATGTCTGTTAAAATATTACAAAAATTGCCTAACTATCACAGGTCAACTTCTTTCGGTATTCTATTCTGGAATTACATCTCTCACAGTAGCCCCTTGGCCACTGCTTCTGTGTTACCTGTTATAATTCAATCAATATTTAGAAACATCTCAACATTCATCAAACAGTATCTTATCCCCAGATATGGAGCAGGTTAATTACATTCAATGCTCAGTTTGAACATCTGGGTTGGGGCGGAAGGTTTCTGTCAATCCTTAAAAGAAAAATTTAAATTGTGAATTTTACAGCCATGTTGACATTTATACATTATACTCACTCCCCCTTTTACACATGAAATCATGTGTAACAAAACCCTGTAATGGGGAGGGGAACAAAAAACTGTCAGGTAATTGGTTAGGGACATAACGAACATTATTTACAATTTTACATCAATTATCATTATTTCCACAGTAAACACTTCAGTGAAAAGAAGTGTTCCTCTCCGTCCTTCAGGCCTAAAAGAAACAGAATCTTCAGATTTTAGTTTTACATTTGCAAACCGCCAACTCATGTGGGAGTAAAAATATCATCAAGTAGATTAGAAACGGGTCACATGTGCGGTTTCCCCTTTTTGTGGAATTTTTAGGAAACCTCTCGTTTCCCTTGGAGCTCCAAAATAATATGTTGTCCAAAAACTGCTTGGTTAGTTATTGTTTTAGAATCATGCAGTTACACTGATCACATGCCGGCATTCATTCACACTCACACTGGTCTGGTTGTCATGGTCAAGTTTGGTCAGGTACACCCCAGAGTCAGTCATGGACAGTGCTTTTGTCACACTGTCAGTCAGGGTCAAAGGTCGTTTGGTCTCGGTCTTTTGGCCATGTCGTGCTCTGCAGAGTCTTTTTCAGAGGGTATTTCAGCATAGGCGGGTACCCTTTATCTACAAAAATATGTCATATGTGGAGCGCCATTCCTTATTTCATCACGATTTCAACTATGATTTCAAGATGATTCTAACTTTTCATTGGGACTTCTTCTGGCCTCCCACTTTTCCTGAAACTTGTACAAAACTCACTTCCTTAGAGTACTACTACTGCAATTCATTTACACCTAATTAGTATTAAAATGTCTAATGATCTATTTCAGAAACTTGTGTACAATAACTATTATCTTGAGTCAAAACATTACTAGGATCTGTGTAGCTTCTGCATTTCATAGCTCATTATACTCATTTATCTTAATTCTGGTTTACTTAAAAAACAATGTTAAACTCTTTAGCAGTGTGTGGAACCTTGGGTGCCGAACATGCAACAATTACTCCCTCCTTTATCAAGGATTTAAACAGAAGTCATTTTATATTTCCATCTTAAAGCCCTCTTATGGTAATAACTATGCTACAATGGTGAAATCAATACTTTAGATTGGAATTTTATATTGGCTTGGCACCAGCTCTCCATTTAACGTTATCCATACAAATAAAGATTTGTCCTATAGAGTGGTTCCTAAAACTATCCTTTAATGGTGATCAATATTGTAACAAATGAGAATCACTACTTTATTCACACGTGAATAAAAATCTCTTAAAGAATGATTTGTTAAAAGATTGAAGAATATGGTTCTACTCTGTCATGTCCTTCCCCTTTAATCCCTCAGTGTGTTTTAGGATGATTCTCATTTTACTTTAATCTGTCTTTACGTATTTATGAAGTTAATTCAAGTTATTTAAATGTGCGTTTCGTGAATAAGTGTGTTTATGTGTAAACTCACTCATTCCCGTTCTCCTTTTCTCCTCCCTGGTTTTCTCAAGCCGTGACCCCGGCCTCCTCACTTCTAATCGACCATGCCAACTCCTCTGATTCTGTCTTCTCTTCAGTCCATCAGCTGTTGAATCCATCCTGTAACTTTTTTAGGCAGCCATTGGCCCAGTCACATCTGCAGCCCCATCGTGCCACTGTTGTTGCACTCCTCCTTTACAGTCTCTCTGCTGTTTTTATGGAGGGCGGATTCTGCTCTTGTGTCCCACACTCGGCTCTGGTGCCAAATCTCGTGGCTCAGCTTGGAACTTCATGCCCTGTCTGAGGGGCTGATGAGAGTATCTCTCTGTATGTCAGCATGCTGTTTGGTTCTGGATGCCACAGGTGGAGATAGTTCTGGCTGCAGTCTTGTTGTTGTTGTTGTTTCAGCTCTGGTTCTCTGTCTGTTCGATGGAGAAGGAGGAGTCTCCTGTTGGGTTAGGTATTTTGTCTGTTTGGAGGGTCGGGATCGTAGCCTTTCTAACTCAGAGGGGGAGTCCAGGTCTCGGGACGCATTACCTATAAGAAGTCTAGCACACTGAGGTTAAATAAATCCAACCCTTTCCACTCTGTCTCTTTCTAATCATACTATCTGTCTTAGTTGTTAAATGCCATCTAAACAACATAATTAATGTCTACTAATGATATTACAAAAACTCACTCTAAAAATTGTTTCATCCATTGTTACATATTTACCCAACACAACTCTGAAATACTTACATGTTTCCAGCATCACATATTCCACACACTATGAAAGAACATCTCCATATCTTCTCTCATTTTAAATCCCACTGTTACTTCGAACAATAGTAAACCTGCAGAGCACACCAATCGGATCACAGTAATGAAATTTGAATCAAGTGTAGGCCTATGTCTACTTTCCACCATACTTATTACTTTTACTGAACATTTATTTATATTGTCTAACTTCCTTGTCTATGATGTGCAAACAGTTCGAGTGTAAAATGTGTTGTTTTTCTCAATGTATTTACACTACAGATTCTTGAGTTTACTCATCTCCTGGTGCTGTCGTTGTAAAAAATGTTCAATTCCTTATTGTTTTTTGTACCAGTTTTCCAAAATCAGTTCTAACTGCCGTGGCGTTTCTGGAAAGGTGGCGGTACGGCTACACAATGTGTAAGAAGGTGCCAACATGTTCCTTTTTTAACTTTGATCCGGAGCGCATCTGCAGTGCGTTCTACAACTTCCCATGGTCCACTCCATACAGGTTGCAACAAGTTCATCTTGTGGATTTTTACATTTACCCAATCACCTGATCCAACAGAAATATTCGTCATGGCCCTGGCATATGCTTCCGCCTCAATATTTCTAAAATCTAACGCTGGTTCTCCTCTGTATTGTGAGGGTGCTACCTTGTGGTGGATATTGCTGAGTGGGGCAATCTCT